GACACAATAAAGTGAGTTCCTGCCTCGACAAGACTCCCAACTCGGTGTGGTTTTTGAGTCGCTGACACTCACCATCCCACTCAGCCCCTAAGAGAGGAACACAGGCTGGTCCTGGCCTCTCTCCCTGTGCCGTACCTGTCGGAGAGCGATCTGACAAACAACTACTAAACACATGTCATTACTAAAAAACATAACAAACTTATGGCAAACAATAAAAGCAGTTGTAAGAGGGAAACTTATAGCTACAAATGTCTACTTTACAAACCTGGATAGATATCAAATAAATAGTGATGCAGCTCAGGGCCTTGAAAAAACAGAACAAGCCAAAGCAAAAGTAAGTAAACAGAAGAAATAATTATGATCAAGGTAAAAACTAATGAAACAGGTATGAAAGACATCACAGTCAATGAAACAGTGTCGGTTCTTTTTACATTTTTATTTATATGTGTGGGTGCGTGCGTGCACGAGTCTGTGTGTGTGTGTGTGTGTGTGTGTGTGTGTGTGTGTGTGATGTGCCTGAGAGTGCATGTGCTACATCACATGTGAGGAGGTCAGAGGACAGTTTTCAGGAGTCCCTTCCCTACTTGCACCATGGGATCCAGGGATGAACTTAGGTCATGAGGCCTGCACAAGAAGCACTTTTACCCACTGAGCCATCACAACAGCTTAAGACAGTTGGCTTTTTGAAAAGATAAACAAGCTTGACAAACCCATATCCAAACTAATCAAAGGAGAGAGAAGAGCCAAATTAATAAAACTGGGGATAAAAAAAGAATATATTATTATATAACAGATGAGTAAAATTCAGAAAATCATTTAACATACTAAAAATGTAAAAGAAATGGATAAATTTCAAGATGTATATATGACCTGCTACAATTAAACCAAGAGGAAATAAACAATTTAAACAGATCTATAATAAGCAATGAGTTTGAAGCAAAAATAATAATAATAATAATTCTCCAAACTAAAATAAGTCCAGACCCATATGAATTGATACACTGCTAAATTTTACAAGACCTTTGAAAAAGAGCTAATACCAGTGTTTTTCAAACTATTGGTTTGAAAATAAAATAGAAAAGGAAGGAATGCTACTGAACTCTTTTTTACAAAGCTAGTATTACTCTGACATCCAGACCAATTATGATACACACAAAAGAAAATTATAAATTTATCTCTCCAATGAACATATATGCAAAACTTCTCAGCAAAATGCTTATAACATCTAACTTCTCTCCATGACAAATGCTTTGAAGAGACTAGGAACAGAAGGAACATATGTCAGCATAATAAAGGCTCTAGACAACAAATCTATAGTCAGAATTATATTAAATGGTGAAAAAAACTCAAAGAATTCCCACTACAATCAGGACCAAAACATAGGTGCCTGTCCTCTCTCCCCAGCTATTATTCAATACAGTGCTTAAAGTCTTAGGTAGAAAAACTAAGAAAAGAGAAAGGAATAAAAGAACTAAATATAGAAAAAGAAGTCAATTTGTAAATTATAAGATTCTATAAATAAAAGATCTTAAAGATACCATTAGAAAACTCTGAGATCTGATAAATACTTTCAGCAAAGTGGCATAATACTCATTCAACATACAAAATCAATATATAAAATCAGTACCCTTCTTATTTAACAGTAACAAGCATGCTGAAAATAAAATCAGGAAAAAAATTCCACTCGTAATTGCCTCCAAAACATGACTTGGAATAAATCTAACCAAGGAAGTGATGAACCTCTAGAATGAAAATTTTGTAACACTGAAGAAAGAAATTCCACACAAGCTGAAAAGGCCTCCCATACACATGGACTGGAAGAATTAATATTGTAAGAATAGCTATGTAAGACTGAAAGCAATCTTCAGTTTCAATCCCATCCCCATCAAAATTCTACTGTCACTTCTCACAGAAATATTTTAAATAATCTTAAAATTCACATGGAGGCACAAAAGACTCTAGAGAGTCAAAGCAAAAAGAATATTGCTGGAGGGACCTGATTTCAACCTATCCAATAGAGCCATAGTGACAGAAACAGCATGGTACTAGGACAAAAACACACAAAGAGATCAATGGAACAGAATAGAGTACGCAGATATAAATTCAAACTACAGCCATTTGATTTTTGACAAAGGGTCCTAAAATACACATTGGAAAAAAAACAGCCTTTTTAACAAATGGTGCAGAGACAACTGGATATCTACATGTAGAAGACTAAAACTGGATCTTTAGCTTTTACCCTGCACAAAATTCGACACAAAATGGATCAAGGATTTCAACATAAGACCTGAAACTCTGAAAATGCTAGAGCAAAATTTAGGAAATACAGGGCTGGAGGGATGACTCCACGGTTAAGAGCACTGGCTGCTCGTGCAAAGGACCTGGGTTCAATTCCCAGCACCCACATGGCAACTAACAACCATCTGCAACTCCAGTTCCAGGGGAATCCAATGTCTTCTTCTGACTTCCACAGGCACTGCACAACATAAGTACACTTACATGCAGGCAATACACTTATACACTAAAATAAAAATAATAAAATAGTTTTTTAATTAGAGAATACACTACTGAATATCACTCTGCCACTCTGGAAATAAAGCCAATAATCAATAAGTGCGACCTTATGAAATTAAAAAGCCTCTTGTACAGCAAAGGAAGCAGTTCACTGAATGAAAAGACTGCCTACACAATGGGAAGAAATCTGTGCTAGCTATACATCTGACAGAGGATTAATAACTAGCATATACACAGAACTCAAAAAACTAAACAAGAAATCAAAAACACCAATCAATAAATCAGCCAATAAAATGAACAGACAGTTCTCAAAAGACAAAATAGAAATGGCAAAGATATGGAGAAAATTCTCAGCCTCACTAACCATCAGGGAAATTAAAACTGCACTGAGATTCCATCACACCCGAGTCAGAATGGATTCACAAAGAAAACAAATAGCACCCAGCATGGAGGTGCATGCCTTTAATTCCAGCACTTAGGAGGCAGAGGCAGTGAGTTCCTGGTCAGCCAGTGGTATATATTAAGACCCTGGCTCAAAAAGAAAAAAGAGGAGAAAATGAAAAAGATAACACATGGCAAACACAGGGGAGGACTTGGACAAAAGAACCTGGAACTGCTGGCAGGAAGGTAAATTAACCCAGCCACTGTGGAAACTGGTATGGGGGCTTTTCAAAAAAACTAAAAAGCATACCTACCACTGACCCACAAATACCTTTCCTGGTGTTTACTCAAAGAACTCCAGTCACACAGATACCTGCACGTCAATGTTTATTAAAGCATTATTCACAATAGCTAAGCTATGGAACAACCCAGATGTTCAACAACAAAGCAACAGATAAAGAAAATGTGATACACACACACATACACACACACACAAACACACACACACACATTTTTTTCAGCCACAAAGAAAAATGAAATTATAACATTTGCAGGAAAATAGGTTCAAATGGAAATAATCATATTAAGAGAATTAAGGCAGTCTCAAACAAATATCATATTTTCTCTTATTTTTGGTTCCTATGTTTTATACAGACATATAAAACCATAAATACATATACAAATATCTATAATATAAAAGAAGAAGAAAAACTACCAGGGGGATAAAGGAGACTAGCAGGAGGGGTCAGAAAAGGGGAAATATGCTCAATGTGTAAAATATACTTACATTAACATGTCCTTATGTAAGACAGTACCATGTATAGTAAATATGAACAAAGAAAAATTTTAAGAACAAAATTTTTAAAACCTTTAAGACATTACTAAGATCAATTCATTAATAAAATTAGCCATTTTCATGTATGTAATAGAGAAAATACTTCTTACCACAATGCTTTGAATGTCCCAAAATTTCACCAACTTTCATAGTTTCACACAGTTCCAGGTACTGAGCACATTGCTGAACTGCTGTGGTAATCTGAAAAAATAATAACAACTTCTAAGTTCCAGAAACATGTAGTTTCTATATCCAAATATTTAAAAATTATTCAAGGCTATTAAAGTCTAATGACATATATGTATGGCATACCACATAGAAAGCCACCATTGTGTAGGCTAACTTAAACAATTAAGAAAATTACTAATCCTGGGCTGGAGAGATGGCTTAGCGGTTAAGAACACTGACTGCTCCTGCAGAAGACCCAGGTTCAAATCCCAGCACCCACATGGCGGCTACAAACCATCCTGAACTCCAGTTCCAGGGAAATCCGAAGCCCTCTTCTGACCTCTGCAGCATGCACGACACAGATGCACTTACATACATGCAGGAAATACACTTGTACACATAAAATAAAAATAATAAATATATTTATAGTAATAAAATATCACTATTATTTCAAATGTGCTATATAAACAAAGAGAAAAATCAGTTGGTGCCCATGACTTTAAAAACTCTCTTTTCTAGGTCTCCTAACTTGATATATTTTTCTAATTTGACTAAGTGGGATATAAAAAAGGAAGACATGAAGTTGGAAGGGGGATAGGTTGAGAAGGATGGGGGGAGTTGCAGGGGGCAAAAATGATCTGTGGATATGATGCAAACACACTGTATACATGTATGAAATTCCTCAAAAATAAATAAAATCCTGAGCATGGTGGTGGTGCACACCTTTAATCCCAGCACTCAGGAAGCAGACGCAGGCAGATTTCTGTGGGATCCAGAAGCCAGCCTGGTCTGCATAGTAAAGTCCAGGCCAGCTGGGACTACAGGAAGACCCTGTCTCAAAAAGACCAAAAAAAAAAGGATAAATAAAAAATATTCTTATAAAAAGAGGATTCATATTTTTATGTAAGAATCTCTTGTAGAAAAATAAAAGAAACTTCAGTGTAGACCAAAGTTTCCACCACATGCACAATTTGACTTCAACTCAAAAAAATGAATGGAATTGGATCATCAACACATTTTTCTGCTTCTTTTTCAAAGTAGAAGTGAAGAACTCTTTAAAAAAAAAAAATGAATCTACCATATGATCCTTTTATACCATTCCGGGGCATACACCCAAAGATTCATCCTACTGTAGAGATAGTTATACATTCATGTTTGTTGCTGCTGTTTTTACAATAGTTAAGAAACGGAAACAACCTAAATGTCCCTCAACTGACAAGTGGATAACGAAAATGTGACACATTTACACAATGGAGTTCTACTCAGCAGTAAGAAAAGATGAAATTTTGAAATTTGCAGGTAAATGGATAGAACTATAAACTGTTATATTAAGTGAAGTAACACAGACTCAGAAAAGTAAGCAATGTTATGTTCTCCCTCATTTGTGGATCTTAGCACCAATCCCTTATATGTGAGTATATAGCCTGATGTAAACCAGGAACCAGGAATATGGAAAGGAAACATGGAGGTAAAGGGGCAGGAGGGAAGCCAAAAGAGGGGGATAGTAGGGAACGAATTTTACCAAGGGGGAAATAAGAGGAAATAGGAATATTCAACTGGGAAGGGAGGAGGGAAGGACATACAAGGAACCATGGGAGTAAAGAAGAAGAAGGAACTCAAAAGAGGGGGGAGGTAATAGGAGACAGGTATTATCAAGGGGAAAATGGGGACACCTAACTGGGGAGGGAGGAGGGAGGTTAGACAGGGAGAGAGAACAGAAGGATAAATAAGCTCAGGTGGAAATAAAGTCGGAGGGAAATGTATTAACTCAAAAAACTCCCTGAAAAATACACACACAGTATCTGAACATTAGTGCACATGTATACCTGAAGGCTACATAACACAAGGCCAGTCAGGAGAAACCTCCCTTCAAGTTTTTGGTCAGAGTAGTTCAAGAGACTCCCAAAATAACATAAGCTATTGCCACAACCCGTGGTTACCTCCCAGAACTTCAAGGTAAGACCCTACTACTGAAGACACGACATATTTTGGACAGAGGACTTGGTGCAATGGAGCTGGAACTGACCTAGAAGCCTTCTCCCTGAAGACTATCTCTCATAGTTCTAGAGGATACTATGCAACCTGCTAAGGGAGAAAATCAATCAGTGGTTCAGCCCAGCTCTAAAACCTAATAACCACAATAACTGGATAACTGGCACATCAAACAACCTCTATTGATGTAGTAGTGGCACTGTTATCCAGGTGGTAATCAATAGCTATCTAACTGGATAGCCTTCTCAGTGGGAGGGAACTCATGGGTGGCAGTGTAAATATAGCCAGATACACAAGGCTGGAGAGGTCATAGATCCCATAGAAAACCCCAGCTCTGTCATATCATTAGACAAATGAAATTTCTTACTGTATGCTAAATATGGTACTGTTACCATTAATCAAAAATGCTTCTTTTTGTAACACATTGAGGCTGTTGCTGATTTCCACAACTGGTCACACACAGATATGTCTGAGATATGCCCAGCCCTAAATCACACATCTACAAGCTTACTTTTAGAAAAAGTGTTTCTGAGGCAGGGTGACTCATACCTGTAGTCCCAGCATTTGGGCTGAGACAGGCAGATTGCCATGAGCTCAAGGCCAATCTAAGTTACACTGAGATACTGTCTCAAAAAACAAAAGCACCTAAGCATAGCCTGTCACATTATTGTTACTTATGAGTATGAATCTGTGTATGTATATGTACACATGGGTACAGGTGTCCACAAAGGCCAGAAGCTGGAGTTTATCGGCAGTTGTAACTACCCAATGCAGGTACTGGGATTAGAATTCTTATCCTCTACAAGAGTAGCAAGTGCTTTTAAGCACTGAGCCATCTCTCTAGCCCCCAAAGCTACCTTTTGATATCCTTTAAATTTAGTTAGCTTTATAGATAAAATGAGGGTTCATATGAAGCCTTTAGAAAGCTTGATCCATTATACATTTTATGCTCTACAACCCTGACCCAAAACTTCACAATTACAGGAATCCTTCCTTCACATAACTTCTAAACTCAAGGTTCTCCCTAAATATGTAAACCATACATATTATCTTCCTAAATGTTCTAATAAATTTCATGTTTTTCATTTTTGTCATTTATTATTTATCAGTCTTAATGATTTCTTTTCAATTTCTTTCAGTAATGAACATGACTAATTTTGGTACATTTTACAGTATTCATCTGTATTTGGCATAGTTCAAACCGATTTTTGCAAATGGAAAAGCATTTTTCACTGAGTCATTTTATATCACTTTCACTCAAATGTATCAGTATATTTTATAGAAGTAATTCCCTTATTAGTGCCTGACCTGAATCAAATTATGTGTTAATACTTAAAAATACGGTTTCTCTCAAACTACCTTATTATTTATAGTAGTCCAATTTGCAATATACTTACACAGTTCCTAATTATCCTGACTGCATTTTAAGACTCTACTTTTATCCTTTTACGTTTCATAGAATGGTAGTTTAAAGTTAAAAAGAAGTGCCCGCAGGCCTCTCTCTGACCCTCAGGCTTCTCTCTCTCGGGTAAGTGGACTGGACCCTCAGCGCCTTGACTCCCCCAACCTCAATAACCCTCCCATCAACCCCGTTGATGTCTCCTCCTAGCCTGGGTCCTGTCCCATTCATTGTCTTGGCACCCCAGACACCTGGGAAACCACCACTGCTTCTTCCTGATCCTTTGCATCCAGAGCAACACAGTTCCTTCTCAGGTCCCCAGGAGAACTGCTTCTGCAACTGGCCCCACCCTCACCTCCCTCTGCCTCCCTAGGTCTGCACAACCCACCAACTTCTTTCCTGGATGCCAGGCTGACCTTTCCTCTTCCTGGTCTTTTGCATCCAGACCAACCCAGCTCTTCAGTGCAGTCCCCAGGGGCCCTAAGGCCACCTCCCACCCCCAGCTTCCTTTGCATCTTCCACTGGGAAGGCCACCAGCTGCCCTAGAGCAGCATCTTTCCTGGGCCTGGCTCCCAGGCCAGTCCAAACCCCAAATTCCTGAGGCGAAAAATCTATCCTGGAGGGATCCAGAACTTAGGAGACTGGGAGCATCTGATCCTCATCTGACTTGGGCCACTGTGGGAACTCATGAAGACAAAAGCAATCTGACCTCTCCAATATAAAATCAAAAGAGAGAACCAGAAGCTTAGAGGAACACCCTTTCATGCCCCAAAAAAGTAAATCAAAAATAT